TGGTGCAAACCAAACTTTTCACATACATTTCTCTCTAGAATACAAATGTGAAGGATTTGAGGTTCATTCTGTTTCTTCAATACGGTAATGATTTACTGAAGTCAAAAGGAATTTGACAACTGCAGGCAAACAACTCATCTACTAATGTTTCTACAAAATCCTGAACAAATCCTTTATTCTGGAATGCCTGAAAGACATCTTGCAAGATTTAAATCTCACAAGAACAACAACATTAATGCATTACCCTTCAGATCTAGGATGGAGGGACTAACAGCATCTGCAGCTATCTGACAAAGAGCTGCGCATAAAGGTGAAGCTGTCAAATCCTGGCCAACAGGTTCTTAAACTGACCTATAACAAGATCAGGTACAAGCAACAGAAATAAGCTTCCTCATAACAGCATCTGGTTTCAGCTTTAGAGATTGAGGATGAGGAGCTCAGTTACTCAGGAGCAACTTGGTACAGCTGCTGCTCTGCTGATCATTAGTTCAGGCATCTGATTAGGATGCCCCCTGCACACCTCCTCGGAGAGGCATTTCGGGCATATCCAACTGGGAGGAGATCCCAGAACATGAGAACATCGATTGAGTCGGTTTTGGGGTAATTTTAAAGTAAGATCATTAGAAACATCTCCATGGATATTTGTCAATCATTCACCAGCAACACAATGTTTAGCTTCCATAATGACAACTAATTAAAGTCACTTTTCCAGCAACTAGGCTAGAAAGTGAAAACAGTGCACAAGTGACAAAGGAATGAGGTTACTTTGTGTTGAATTCACACACAAGCCCATTCAAATAAAAAGCTAAATAGTCAGACTTCTCCTCCAGTCATTAGCCCAGTTCAATCTTCCTGATCAGAGTGCCAGTTGTCATTTTGAATTTAATGTAATAATTTTATCTAGATATAAAAACTCACATCTGGGTGTAATTTGACTTTTGTAAATTTAATTGAACACTAAATCCTTGCTCCGATATAAGACTATAAAATGTGTCTTCCCAGCCCCGGTAGTACTCACCCTCCTTTCCAATATCTCATTCTTCAGCTCCGTCATCCGATTCGTGTTCCTGGCAAATTTATTGATCTTCTGCTGGTCTTCAAACGTTACATTCACATCTTCAACTGCCTGCAAACAAGGAGAAATGACTGAATGAGTTTGCAGTTCATTTTAGCCTGTTAAACATGACAATCCTGGATGCGCTGACAGAATTTAATTCATTCTGCTATGAGTTATAAGTATTGATCAGCAGCAACTTTTCCAAAGATGAAATCACAAGCATCACAAAGACATGCCAACTGTGTTAACTGAAAGAAGAAAAAAAAAAAAAAGACCCACCACCTTATGAATGGAGAAGCATTTAGTAAGATTAAAACAAGCCTTATAAATAAAGGATGTGTGGTGTTGTTGTTGTTTTAAATCAAGCGTAAGGAATAAAACCAAAGAGCTCTATTCAGTTTCATTTAGAGTGACCAAGTGGCCTACTTTATGCAGGATTGCACAATGTTTTTATTTTTCACCTCCTGTCCTACATTTCGAATTGGCTCCAATTCAGCACAGCACAGGTCTAAATCTACTACAAATAAAAGTTATGTGGTGTGTTTTTGCTGGCACTAGACTGCAATTTCCCTTTTGAGAGAGTAGAATCAATAAATAAACTATGCATTTTTCATTTGAACCTCAAATACATGTAATTTGGTTGATTTGTCCAGTGCTAACGGAAATTTATCAGCGCATCCCTCCTCAACACAAAGATTATTAGGAGGGGAACAGCAGATGAAACACCTGAACAAATATTAAACAAGTACTGCCATACAAGACCATTGCATTAAAAAAAATAAAAAATAAAAAGCAACAGCTGGAAAATTGGTTGTAATGGTGCATATAGATTTGTACCCGTCAGTCACATCCTCTGCAACCCGCATAGCTTTATCAGACTGCCTCTTAGCATTACCGTAACCCACATTGTCCAACACATGAAAACTATTTGCTCCCCATTTGGCTTGTTGTGATATGGTCATCCTACTGTGCTGTTGGCCCCTCAGAAACATTTAAATATAAATTGAGTGAGACTGAGCAGGGTATTGGTCATTTATTGGGGACATATACTGCTTTAGCTTTTTGTTTCTTGGCCGGTTAACTACAGGCCGATTTTTATTTTGTTTGCTAGCATGCTAGCTTGAGTGTCCCATCACCTGCAGCGGCCACTGCCCTGATCTGGATATTGAGCTCATTGTTTCACCACATAGTTTTTAAGCTCGGACGAAGAACAGCTGCAAAATTACAACGTCTTTCGAGCTAGTGTTTTAACCCAAGGAGATATCGCTTTACGGTAGCTACACGAGGGTGTGACGGCGCTTTCAAATATCACCGCCGTGAGAAAGCTCGGCGTCTTACTCGCACACATACACGATGCCACCTTCTTTCTGCATCCCCTGTTAAAACGGCGATAGAGTAACGCATATGCAAGACAAAAAAATTGTTTTTTGTTTAAAAATATTCCTTACCACGGATGATTTCATGGTCGCTGCCATCTTTGCTTCTTCGACTGTTCACCCGCAGCGTCGCTCAGCGGGATAAATACCCCCACACTGCCACCTATCAGCAGGCCTGATCTGGAGTTTGACCCCCACAAGTTGGCCAGAAAATGTGGTTACTTCTCTCAAACTGTTTGTTTAGTTCTTTTCCATCTTTTTGAGTTTTGATTGATTTGATTATTTAGTTGAGTTCATGTTCTGGTAACTATAGTTAGATATGTCGCAAGATGCTTTCCCTTACATTTACATCTAGAAGCTGAAATTTGACTTATTTAAAAAATAATTCAGCCATTTTTTTTGTTCTGTTGTAGGTGATTATCTCAATAAATGTGCAAACGTGCTTTACACTGGTTGTGTACAGCGCTTTGGGGTCCTTAGGGACTAGAAAAGCGCTATACAAATACAGGCCATTTACCATTTCAATACGCCAAACAAGTTATTATGCCAACCGGAACTGCTGTTGTGTAAATATTTGCACACAGTACTGCACCCAAGTTCAAATATTTAATGAATACATCTGTAATGGGAGAAGACTAGAAATTCATATTTGTCTAGGCCGAATTACAATGCACCACCTGTAGTTTTAAGCATCATTGGCATTTAGGCCTGAGTGAAAAACAAATCATAAATATGCAGGTTTTTCTGTCTCAAAGTCAGCAGTCTTTATCTAACTTTGTAGGAGCCACTAGCATACCTAGTAGGCTGTTATGCGTTGGTGCACCATGAAGAGTTTTCTTGAGGCCCCTCAGCTGCAGGCCTTGCATGAAGTCACCAAACAGGGGAATCCAACTCCCACCTCAGCATGCAGTCTATAGGATACAGTCGAGCCATTGTTTTCATGGATTCCAAGGCTTGCCATAATAAAGTCAATAAATAGTGCACATGTTATAGTCTTTTTTAGTTTGTTTCTTAAGCATGTTTGTTTGTGATAAAACGCTTTCACATACTTTGATTGACTTGCATTAACAAGATGTTGAATGATTTGACGTTTGACATCTTCCAGGAGTCAAATGACTTCTAGAAGTTAAATCGAATAAACAAATTTGTCAGCATTATCATGGCCTAGTTACAAAAAAAGCAAACATAAAGATGAGTTCATCTTCAATACCATATTGACATACAGTGATAAATAATAGTATCTAACTATGGACACATAGCAGCCTTTAAACACAGACATTTTGACATGATTTTATCACGAAGCTGCCTTGATGACCTCTTTTCTTTTTTTTATCAGATAATACCAAAACAACATAATGGGTATGTTAAAGCACATCTGTGTTATTAGATTTATTTTTATCAATCAACTGCATCTTTAAAGACTAAATCAGTAAAAAAAAAAATGCTTATAGTTTTCTCTTCAAATTAACCAGTGCCAACATAGTTATTTTTGGGTTTTTTCAGTGTGGATGCTTGCCAGACCAGTATCCTTAATATACATCCTGTTAGGTCCCCGCCAGATTGGTCAACAAACTGTTTGGACCGCCTTATCACAGCGGGCTTGGACAGATTCACACCTCATTATGATCTTGTCAGGGTATGTTCAGGATGCCACATGGAGATTACTGTGAGTTGATCAAAGCACCAATGCAGAGCACTTTCTTTTTTTTTTCCAGATGAAATCCAGCTGCCAACTTGAAAACAGACCCACCCATTTTGACACACACATAAAGTGTCCAGTTAACAAAAGTCTATATACATAGTTGGGCAAAAGGAGGAAGTCCATCTCAGACAGACACGCCATATCCTTAAGAAGGAAGTCAAGTAACAAGGTAAGACATTTCCCTGAAAGCAGTATTAAAAATTTTAAATGGTTTTGCAAAAGTCTTAATAGATGTTAACCATTATTTGCAGATTATCTTTGCTTATCAGTACAACATAACAATATGACATTTCTATTTCATTTAATTCTATTGCAACCTGCAGATCTTAACTGGGGAAAAGATGGGAAACGAGCAGTCAGTAAACATAGAAGAGCTATCCAAGGTAAAACAATGCAAATTATATGGTAGACATTACAGGCTAAAAGGTGCACGTGCCATTTTTCTATATTTGTTGACATCACTCACAAGATGCACACTTTTCCAAAACTCTAGCATGCACAGGTGACAGGTGAAAAAACTCTGCTTCTCTTTAAAGATAACCCATCTAGACTAGAAAGCACAATGCTGACGTTGTTATTTACTCACAGAATGGGGCAATTCCTGAAAAGCATGAGAATGGAACCATGAATGGCATCTCTATAGAAGTCACGTCTGGCGGACTGGAGATTAATGGTACGTGAGCTTTATTTTATTTTTAATTTCTCTTAGGATAAATAACATCCAAGCAATCTGTGATAATAGTCTGCCTGATCTAGAGTGGTGGTGTCACTGTGAAGCATGAGCAAATCAATGCTCAACACTGGCAAATTAAAGTCTTACTTAAGAATGAATTTTATTAATGTCAGACTGTTGTGTTTTACTGTATCACGCTTTATGCTGATATACTTTACGGTTCTCCTTCAATGAAAAAAAAGTAAATTAATTTTACAAATTTATTATTTGTGATTAATCCTTTAATCCTTTTAATACTCTGCAAACACAGTGACTCCCAGTTGCACGGCGTCTGAGTAAACCACGGGTGTTTTCTCAGAAATTAACCAGGAGCAAGTATTTGACTTGTCAAGGTGTGGTGGTTTGTGTCTTCACTATAAAAATAAAATACTGTGGGATTCCCATGGCTCTTGACTGTTGATTCCTGAGATAACGTTCTCACACTGACTTGCCCGTGTTTACTAGCTCGTGGAAATTTTGCTGAATTTTATGGCAACTGTTTAAATTCTCTTTAAGCTAGAAGTAAAAATCACTCTATGGGCTAATACTAAATAAAATTACACTTATGTTTAAAAATAAATTCCATAAAACCCAGAAATGTTCATTTTGACCCTTTTAAGCTGACTCTTTAGGGGGATGTTTGTTAAGGTGGAAGTTCATAGAAAAGGTCCAGAATCAGAATCAGGAAATCGCTTTGTAATAGACATTTAATTAAGGTGTAATAAGGTGTGTCATTCAAGCTGCAATATATTAAATAAATATTTCAAAGCTAAAAAAACAAAAACTATGTGCAGTATTTACAAGATTCAACAAATGATGTTGCCAGGTCCAGATGTCGCGGGGAGGAACTGATACATTTTAACAGGAATGATGTGCTTTGACGTTCCATGTTGCATTTTTGTGGTATTAGCCTTTGGTGAATGTGCTCCTATTACTGCCTAGCGCATCATGGATGTGAAGTGAAGGATTATCTATGAGTTCCCATGACTTTGACATTTTTCACCAAGCTCCACAATTTCCAGATTTATGGGCCTTGAGGATCATTTTGTTGAGTTTGTCGGTGTCCATAAAGGTGCTTAATGTAGTTTCCTTTGGTGAAAAGTAACAAAACACTTTCCCCAAATTAACTAAAGCTATGGCGTGATGCAGTTGTTAAGACTTTGGGTTTAAAATCTCTATATATTGTGTTGAAGAGATATCAACTGAAATGGAACTAGAGCTGTGCTGCACTTTCGTGCAATGCCAATTTGTACCACTAGGTGGTATAGTAAGTCCGTGTAATCTTTATTTAAACAGACAAGTAATTTATTGTTGTTTACAATGGCAGCCTGGCAAAATGCAAACTATCCAGAAAAAGAAAGAAAGAAAGAAAGAAAGAAAGAAAGAAAGAAAGAAAGAAAGAAAGAAAGAAAGGAAAAGCACCACCACACATCTGAAAACATCTGAACACACCCAGTGGTAAAATGTTGCTACCTGGCAGTGAAAACATTTAAGTAAGTCTGCAGATGGTAATTATAAAAAGGGTCTTTAAGCATTTATGTCCAACTGTTATTTTATAGTAATTTTTTTCCTGAAAAAAAAAAAGAAATTTAGCCTGGGTTTGACAATAGTTTCAGTCCTTTGTTTCAATGTTTTTCCTGTATGTGGCATTTTGCTTATTTTGCCACTTTTTTATTTTTCAGGTAAAAGTGAAACTACAGTCTGCCAAAATGGCAAGGCCCACTCTTTAAACTCTGCCATACAATCAACTGATGTGATCGTCAAATCAGAGTGTCAACTTGATCTTGCCCAAGCTGTTTCTGAAGCTCCTGACACCAAAATCCAAGCCGTTTCTGATGCCCCTGACACCAATATCCAAGCCGTTTCTGAAGCCTCTGACACCAATATCCAAGTCGTTTCTGAAGCCCCTGACACCAACACCCAGAAGGAAGAGGTCAAGAAAAGCAAAGGAGAAAAAGGTCGTCGTCATTTTGGCAAATTGTTCAAAAAGAAATCACAACCTAAAGCTGAACCTGAGACTGTTGAAGAGAAAGAAAAAGAGACACAGAGTGAAGATCAAACGGATGTAAGTGTTCCTCCCACTGAGCCACAGCAGGTGAGGGCACTTTTCATGTTTATTCTCATCAGATGAGTCTAGTTGTTTTTTTCTATTTGCCAACAAAACTGTGAAGAGACAAGCAGAGCAAGTCAGGTTACTTTGCATAGCACATTTTACACACAAGGGCAATTCAAAAGGATTTTCTAATGTACGGATGAATGGCCATTGGGATCTATGATGTATGTACTGCAATGAAAGTATGCAAAAACGCAAATAAACTCATAGTAGAATTTTAAAGGTAATGGTAATGTTGCCATATCAATGAAAAGCAATGGGAAAAGGAAAAGTCTTTAGCTAAGTTTTAAAAACTGATCAATTATGATAACGCTCATGTTGTGCAATAGACATCCATTGATTCTGAAAAACAACAACAATATAAATACATATAGCAGATACAATGCTTGCCCTTAAT